CATAATGCTGTGTAATAAACCACCTCCCAAACCTTTTATTCTCTTAAATACGATGAGAGAGAGGAGAGTGAAGAGAAACCCATAGATGAGACTGAAAAAGAGAAGTCAATGAAGTAGCATAACAGCAAATAGAGGTGATATCAAAGCTAAGGAATTCTTCACCATTCCCTGCATCCACGTCTTTTGACATGTGACCTTGTGGTTTCTCCCAAAAGGGGTGGAGCATGTTTCCTCTCCCTTGACTTTAGTTCAGCCATGTGACTTCTTTCGCCAATAAAATGAGATGAAAGTGACAGAGTGGCATTTGGAGACTAGGCTTTAAGAGTCCTTGCATATTTCCACCTGGCTTTTGTGCTCCTGCCACTACTGTAACTGACACACCTGGTATGGTCCCTGGGTCCCAGAAGAAGATGAGAGACATGTGGAGCAGAGCAGAGTTACATCAACCAGGCCAGTCTAAGTCAGCCAACGTCCAGCAGAACAGCAAGCAGGCAGATGGATCCAGCCAAAATCAGCAGAGTCACCCAGCCAAGCCCACACCAGGTTGGCTGACCTGCAGCAACTCCATACCCAAGACAACACAAGGTTTGGGGATGGTTTGTTACACAGCATTATCGCATCTGTAGATAACTGACACACATCATAAGAACAGAAATGAGATCGCAGTGAGTTGAAGAGAGAAGAGGACGGGATTAAAAAAAAGTTCTGGTTAATAGAGGTGTGGCAGACATTGCCCACTGCTCCACCACGGCCACTGTCAACTCTTCCTGTTGGCTAAGAGAACCTTCTCTTGTTTGAGGGGACATCCACCTATGTACTCAAGGAAGGGGTCATCCTCCCCAGCCTGAGATAAATCAAGTCTCAGGACAGAAGCCCACACACTGCTGATAGCAGAGTAGAAAAAGAAAAAAAAATGTCTTGGAGAATGTCTTTGAGTCTTCATATTTAACATCCCTTGAGCTACCTGTAGCAGATACTGCTTGGTGCCTGCCCAATACCTACTCTTCCTTTCCTTCTTGTTTACAGAACCCTGATTTTATTGGAATGGCAGTAGGCCAGCTGAAAATACTCACCCTCCTAAACTCCCTCTCAGCGAGGAGTAGCCATTTGATCCAGGTATAAGCAATGAAAATCAAGCAAAAATTGCCAAGTAGGGCTTCCAGGAAAGCTTTCTGAAATGAGACAAACAATTCTGCTTACCCCTGGCCCATTCTTCCTGTCTGTAACTTGGGTACGAGCTGGAGATTGAATGGCTATCTTGCAACCATGACCAACCATGAAGACAAAAGCCACATGTTCAAGATGTCTGAGCAAAAATCGAGAAAGAACCTGGGCCCCTGGTGGTATCACTGAATCATCCTACCAGCCCAAGAGGCCTACCCCTGGATTTAGTAACAGGAGACAACAGAAACCTGCCAACAGTTAGGTTGTGTTACTTGCATGCCTGACAGAGCCACCCCACTGCCTCTGAGTTTCTGAATATATAAGAAAGTACATTTCCTTAATAATTAAGCCATTTGTGTTGGGTTTTCTGTCCTTATAGTTGAAAGCATCCTAGTTAGTCTCGAGTTTTGCGGTGAGTTGACGTCTGATAAACTGGGATATGCCTGATCTTGGACTTGAGTGAAATAGGGGGTGGGGGGCAGGTAGGGGTTACTCTCATTCTTCCTGGAAATTCAGATGGTGAGAATCAGAGGCACTCTGATTTCCTGAGCATCTTTCCGCCGGGATCAAAAGGACTAAGGACTCAGGGTTTACTTCTGCTTTAGATATCTGTGAAGAGTTCTTACTAATTAAGTTGTTTGCTGTTTGTTTGTTTGTTTGTTTGTTTTTGAAGGAGGAAACTAAGGTTTCAAGGAGGCAAATTTACCACCTACGGCACTCAGTCAAGGCTTAGATCTGCCTGACTCTGGGATCACCTTTTTTCCCCTCCTTTCTGGGCCCCTGTCTTCTCATCAGTAGAATGAGATTACTCAAGATCAAAGTTTTCAAACATTTCATTTCAAAGTAGGCAAAATCCTTTTATAGCTGAACTTTTACTTGTTGTCCAACCTATAAAAAAGATAAAAGAGAAACTGCTCAGAGTGAGAAGGGTCAGGAGGCTTGCAGCCTCCTCCCCAAGCCCCGTGGCCCACTGGCACCTCACTGCAATCCTGGGCTCGTGGGAGGCTTTTAGGAAACACTAGCCTAGATTATCCCAAGGCCTTTGGGAAAATCTCTGAGTCCAAGAGGAGAGTCTCTGATCTTTCAAATATTACTAAAATGTTTCACAGAAGACAGGCATGCACACAGCAAAACAAAACCAAAACCAAAAGCTTTCTAACAGTGCAAAAGGAATGAAAAGTCACCTCCTTCCGATTTCTGACTTGCCATTCCTCCCGGAAAAGACAGGGAGACTTGTCTCTCCCAGAGATGGTCTGTGCATCTCCCAGTGTATATATGTACACATATTGCCCCCTCTTGCCTTACAACACACACACACATACACACATACATACACACACACACACACACACACACACACACAAATTTTAGCATCCTATAATCACTGTTTTGCATCTTGTTTTTCTCGGTTAATGTTACATGTTGGCAGTATTTCCAGATCTACTTAATTCACCTCAGTGGGTGCATGATGTTGGAATACTATTTAATTTATTTAGCTAAAAAGGCCCCTATTCTTGAGTAAGAGGTAAAAACTACTATGTGTAAAATAAATAAGATACAGTGATATATTGTATAGCACAGGCATTATAGCCAATATTCTATAATAACTTTAAATGGAGCATAATCTATAAAAATAATGAATCAATATGTTGCATAGCTGAAACTAATATAATGAATCTAATATTGTACATTAACTATACTTTAATTTAAAACAAAGAAAAGAAAAAACAAAGAAACTGGGATACTAAAAAAAACAAAAAAGGTTCCTATTTTGGACACTCAAGTTGCTTCCAGTCTTTTATCGTGTCAGAGAATCCTGCAATGAAGGTCTTTAATTCCTTCTATAGGCACCAGGTGTGCTAGTTTAAATGCTTGGTTTGTTCTCTCCCCAGTCCCTCTCTCTCTCTTCCTCTCTCTGCTTTTTGCTTTATTTATTTATTTTTTGCTTATTTGCATTTTCTAATTTTTATTCCATGAACATGTCCCATTTGTGGAATAATTAAAAGGATATGTTTACAGGCTCAGGCCTCAAACTTCGGCCAAGTTAGATAAACAACCCCACGCACAAGCACAATTGAGAAAGGAAAAAAAATTCAGCCTCAGCCTGTTTGGCTGGGAGGTTGCATATCTGGAGAGCCGTGTGCCAAGGCCCAGCCCTGCCTGCTGCAACATGTCCTGGAGTGTAGGATCTGGGTTCTGGTTTGGGCTGTGTCATTAACTTGCCGGGTGACTCCAGGTAAGTCACTGAGCTTGCATGGGCCGTCAGAAAAGCACTTACTATGTGTGGGGCTCTGAGCTAAGTGTGATACGCTGTCTGGGGAGGTTGGTGTTATTATCCCTACATCTCAGATGAAGAAGAAGAAAAAAAAAAACTCAGGGATATGAAGCACTTGCCAGTCTCCTCTAAGTCAGTCAAGGAACCACCATCCATTTGGCCCAGGAGTTGGTCCGGATTCTTCCCCACCTCCCTGTAAATATCAGTTCACCTTCAAGTATGGCCGGCTCAACCTTCAAAATCTGTTTGTCTCTCACTGAATCCTCACCATGCAGCCTTCCAGGCCCCCCATGATCTTCCCCCACTACCTCTCTAACTTCATTTTCCACCCCTAATCTTCCCCACCTCTCTGCGCTATCACACCAGTTTCACTCCCAACCTCAGGGCCTTTGTACTTGCTCCTCTGCTTGGATCCTTTTCCTTCCCAGCAGGTCTGGGACTAGGTCGAGGCAAGTGAGATGCCCAGGGGGAGAATGTGCAGGAGGCACTCACTCTGAAGGGCTTACCTGTCCCTGAACGAGCCTGAGTGCCCCCGGGGTCACCCACTTCCCCACCCTCATCTGACACTGCTTCCCAGACTTGGGTCTTCTCATCACTGGGGTCTTGGCATAAATGTCCCGCTCCTCAGAGAGACCCCCCCTTGACCATCTTAACTAAGGGTGTTCCCATCACTATCCAACCCACTACATTGTCTAATTTTCATTTATCTTCACTGCCCTTATTATGCAATTATTTATTTTGTGCCTATCTCTGCCCACTAGGTTACAAGGTCTGTGAGGGCAGGAACTAATTCTCCAATATTATCCAATGTAGTCTCTGATCTGTCCCTAGCACCCAGCACACTGCCAGCATTCAGTTTATAACATACTCAATAAAGATTCGTGGGGTGAATGAATGAATGAATGAATGAACGAGCTGGTCAGAGGCCGAGTCAGGATTCAAACCCAGGTATGCCTGACTCCAAAGTCAGTCATCCCAACCACGACTGAGAAACAACGGCCAGGGCACCCTTGACTGTGGTCTGTGTCACAGCTTGTCCTGATAGGAAGCCTGCGTCCCAAGGACAGGCCGCCTGAGGAAACTTCTAGGTGGGGAGGAGCTTGGCCACAGTCACGGGGGCTGCTGTCAGCCTCAGGCCTTCGTGAGGTCAGCTTTGCCCCACCCACCTCGGTCTAGTTTTTATTTTTAGAGGCGAGTTTTTGGGCACAGCGAGCTCTCCTTAGGAAAAGTCCAGCAAGAGGATGAGGGAGGAGGTTTTGAAATCTGGTGGGAAAGTAGGTCAGGCCGGGTTGCTGGCTGGGGTCCAGACGATAAGGCCTGTGTGGAAGTTTAATAACGTGAGCGGCCGTATCCATGACATAATTCATAACTGAGAGGAAATAGCAATTAAGGGGCAATTGTGCAATGTGGGACAAGCCTCCTTCGCAGCTCATAAAAGCAGGAGAAGGGGGAGGCGACGCTGTCTTTCTGGGGCCACCAGGGGCCAGGCAGGCAGCCCGCGGGAGCTGGGGCTAAGTTTCCACGTGGAGGGGGTTACACCCATCTTTCCTCTCCCCCTCAGGCCTCAGGGAACTGGAAGGATGTGGAAGGCAGAGACTCCCTTCAGCAAGCACCTACTATGTGCCTGGCTGGGCTCGGGGCTGGGGTGAGAGCTGTAAAGACAGCATTTTGCTGTGGTTGAGAGATCTGGATGCAGCTGCACAATTTTGATGCTGCCTTGTCAAAATGGAAAATCGCTTTGATTATCGAGTGAACTGTACAACAGACACCCTGATCCTTGTTCCATCTCCTCCTCCCCCTACTCCAGTTACTATGGATTTTCAGTTTCTCTTTTATTCATTCTCTATTGTTTGATCTTCCCATGGGAACTCTTGGGCTTTTATAATCAGTTACCCCCTCCGCCTCACCCTACATACATTAAATCTGCATTGGCACCTCTTCTCTTCCTTGAACAAGTCAGACATGCGCTCACCCCAGGGCCTTTGCACTTGCTGTGCCCTCTGCCTGGAATCCTCTTCCCCTCTATACTCACATGGCTCACCCCTCACCTCCTTCATGTCTTCACTCAAATGTCACCTTCCCACTGAAGTCTTAGCTGACCAACAAAGCAGCAAACCCATCCGTTGCTCTCTATCTACCTCTCCTACTTTATTTTTATCCACAGCACTTATGACCAATTAACCCTCTCCATCTGTTGTTCATTTTTTTATTGTCTGCTTGGTCCCACCAGTATGTTAGTGTCACCAGCAAAGGAATTTTGTCCAGCTTGTTCTTGGCTGCATCCCCAGTGCCGGGAACTGCACCTGGAACACTGTAGGTGCTCAGGAAATATTGGTGCATGAATGAATGAGTAAATGTTTGCTATTATTATTGGCTGGTAAAAAGGCTGATCATTGGCTAGTTTGGTTGGGGGCCTGCCTCAGAATGCCCCCGGGTCAAGCCCTTCTTGGGTACTGCAGGTGGGATCAGAAGTTGGCAGGCCCAGGTATTGGCAGCTGGCACCTGCTCTGATTGATCAGTGCTCAGTTTGACAATCATACCTCCTCTCTCCTCCCTGGGAGCTCCTTGGTCACTTTAGTTAAGATTCTAAATGCACTGACCCACTGACCCCTCCCCCACCAGCCGTGAACATTCTCGTGCAAGAAAGCAAAGCTCTGTATACAAAAGGAGTTTCTTACAGAACTTTTCATAGTAGTGGGTGTACACACACACACACACACACACACACTCAGTCAGGGATATACATACACTTCCACGCACATTCAGACACATCCTGACCTCAAGATCCAGACTTGGGGACACACTCTTACATATGCATACAGTTAGACACACACACTCACTTTGTCATTTACACACCCAGACGCATGCTCACATGCTCAAGCATGTTTGCACACTCAGCAATAGATCCAGCTCTCCACCCAGCACCCTCACACACAGCACAGATACCTACTCACTCATACCCACACACACTCAGTCCCACACACGTGCACACACGTATGCATGCTCATTCACCTTCTTAAAGCCATGCATTCACACACTCACACATCCTTATATACACACAATATACACACACAGTGGACCCCCAGACACTCCAAACCACGCCTCCTGGGACATACTGCCCACCCTTCCTGCCGCTTAAGGTCCCAGGGAGCCACTCCTTGGCTGTGTTTTGAGGAGCAGGGACAGACCACATGCCCTGACCCCAGGCCACCCTGGATCACTTCACTCTGACCCCAGACAGTCCCGAAGCTGCTAGCGTTAGCAAACCGGGCCAGGGCCAGCTCCGTGAGCAGCGGATGCACGATGCCCACATCAGTCCTGACTGTGCCGCTTCGGGGCACGTCTGCCTGGCTCATCTGTGTCCAGGGCACCCGCCCACTTCCTCCCCATCGGAGGGCGGGGCCAGCCTGCTGACATCAGGCGGTTTCTGGGCCTGCCTGGCACCTAGAACAGAGGAAGGAAGTAATCTGTCCCAGCAGCGGGGGCTGTCCCGAGGAGCCCAGGATGTGCCTGGAGGCTCCGTGACCCTGAGGTCCGCTGAGGCTGGGCTGCCCACCCCTCCACCCACAGGGGCACCATGGCCCAAGGTGGGGCCACAATTCAGGGGACTTGGCTTTCTGAATTAGCCCCCACGGTTGTGAGCACCTCTCCTTCCATCCCAGAGAATAATGACAACAAAGACTGATATTCACAGAGCACTTACTGTGTGCCAAACACTGTCCTAGCTCCCCATGGATTATCGCAGTAAGCCCTCAACACAGCCCTATTTGGTAGGGTGTTATTATCAACCTGGTTTTACAGATAAAGAAACTGAGGCACAGAGAGGTTAGGGTACTAGCCCAGGGAGCAGGATTTGCCCCCTGGTCTGGCTCCAGACCCCCATCCTCAGTCACCCCACCCTCTCCCAGCTTCTCTCTGTTGTGCTGTGTTGTGCTTGTCTGTTTGTGTGAGCCTCCAATATCCATGGCCTCCACACCTCTCATCTCTCCGAATCCTGGCAACAATCTCACAAGCAGGGCACCAGTATTAGCCCCACTTACAGATGAGGAAATTGAGGTTTAAATGACCCACTTGAGGCAGACGGCAAGAATGAGGCAGAGCCAGGTTGGAACCTGGGTCTGAGGGCCCTTTCTGCAAAGCCAGGCCATCTCCCTCAGGTGCCAGAGGCCTTCAACAGGACCAGAGGTAGGGAAAAGGGGGCTAACAGGAGCCTTGGTGGCCACAGAACAGACACAGAAATAATAGTACATTTATGACAATGACAATAAACTTTTTCTACCTTTTAAGATAAGCGGGACATAATGAACACAGAAGAAAATTTGCCCAGATGTTCCTGGGTTCCATTTGATGAGCTCTGACAAATGAACTCAAGAACCAGCCACCAGGAACACAATACAAACATTTCTATGACCAAGTGCCCTCATGCTACCTTCTAAACAATCCTCCATAATTTCAGCCCCTGGTAACCACTGGTCTCTGGGCTGTCATCATAGGTCACCCTGTTACACACTGCAGGTTAGTTTTGTTTCATCTGGAGTTGCAGATAGAGCACATACTCACACAGTATGTGCTCTTTCACATCTGGCTCCTCACACTCAGCCTAACAGCTGCAAGAGCCACTGTGCTGTTGCAAGAATCAGCAATGGGTTCCTTTATGGCTGAGAAGTGTCCCACTGTGAGAAGGCTCCACGGCTGGCTTATCTGCCTCCAGGGGACCAGGTCCAAGTTTCTGGCTTGAGCTGAGCACCAACTTTGAGCCAGTCACAGTCCCAATCTAGTGTCCTTTGCAGGCACCATGTATATTAATCCCTACCCAAAGTAGTTATCACTGTCCCAGCTCTGGGGCAGGAGGAAATGCAGGATCCAGGTGAGAAACCCAAAGAAATGTAGCTCACAGCGGCCAAGATAGGAGAGCAACACCAAGTAAGGGGCAGATGGAGACATGGTGATGACAAGAGGTCCCAGCCATGGGAGCACAGGGGGAAACCGAACTGGAGCAACAGAAGTGATAGCAGTGGCCTGCATTTATTAGGCACCTACTAAAGCAGGAGTCAACCCATTCAGTCCTCCCAACAACCTCTGTTACTGTTTCACGATTTGGAAAACAAAGGCACAAGGAGGATGAGTCCAATCTCCAGGGCCACGTAGCTATGAGGGGTGGAGCTGAATCTGGATTCAGGTGGTCTAGCATTATGTGCTTCTTTTAACCAGAAGGTACACTGTCTTAGCCCCTCTTCTATTTAGTTGGGGTCACTAGTGGAGCACGCTCAGGTCCTGTCTTATCCAGAGGCTTTTCCACTCATGGTCATCTCCCTGCTCAACTGGGAGCTCCCCTAATCTGGTCAGTTTAGTATCAAAGGGCCTGGTGCTAGGAATGCAGGCAGCAGGATGGAAAGTCAAAAGCAAGTCTCTAAAGTCAGTCTTTGAATTCTAGCTGTGCCATTTCTGGCTGTGTGACCTTGGATTGGTCACCTAACCTCTCTGAGCTTCCATTTACTTATCTATAAAATCAAAGATGATGACGATGATAGTGATCTCATGAGGATTCAGTGAGTTGGGTGTGGAATTACTAGAACAGATATTTACCTGCATTTTGCTACCTGCCTGGGGCCTCTCAATGCTTAACCCAGCCTCACAGCAACCTTGCAAAGCAAATGCTATTTAATTCCCATTTTACAGGCAAAGAAATTGAGTCTCTAAATACCATCACCATGCTAAAACTCTCCAGTTGTCTTACCGGAACTCAGGCTTGAATATCCAGCTGTGACTCCACATGCCTGACTGACAAGTCAGCCTCGAGGTAAGAAACTGAACTTCCTAACCTCCCTGCATGACCCCGCCCCTCCTGCGGTCTTCTTCACTTGGGAAAACGCCACCTCTGTCTTTCCAGGGTCCAAGGCCAAAAACCTTAGTAACCTATCAACTCCTCTCTTTCTCTAACCCCCACTGCCCCCTGCTTTGCATCCATCAGCATCCAGATCTGATTACTGCCCCCTGCCCCCCACTCACCTCCACAGACCCATCCTGGGGTGAGTCACTAAAGCCCTTGCTTGGATTGTTGCAGTGTCCTCCAAACTGTCTCCCCCACTCTGCCATTTCTCCCTACCCAAAGGAGGTCAGATCACGTCTCTCCTCTGATCAACATCCTGCTATGGCTCCCATGTCACCCAGAGTAAAAGACAAGGTCCTGGCAGTGGCCCATAGGTCCTACATGGTCAGCTGTGCCTTTCCTCTCTGACCATTACCCTCCAGCCACACTGACCTGCTCCCTACTCCTGGAATCCATCAAGTGCACTGCAGCCTCAGGGCCTTTGCACTTGCCGTCCCCTCTCTCCCCAGAGATAACTAGACAGCTCCTCTTTCACTTCCTTCAGGTCTTTTTTCAGATGTGAATGTATCCACGGGCTTCCCTGACCACCATGATTAAATGAACAAGCCCCCCTTTATCAGCACTCCTTGGCCCCCTTCTCTCCATGGCACCCATCTCCAACTGACATGTGGAGTCTTTAATTTTATTAATATTATTATCATTGTTAGTTTTGGATATCTCCACCCACTGTACCCCACAAGAGCACAATCATTTTGGGGTGCCCACGGCAGCATCCCCAGCACCTCTGTGTCAGGTGCAGAGTGCCTGTTCAATAAATGTTTCCTGAATGCACGAATGGGGATCAGGAGGCATTAACTGACTTCTCCAGGCTACCAGGTTAGGATACGCTGGAGCCCAGCTCTGAACCCAGGGGTCGGAGTCCCAAGCTGGTTCTAGGTCAGCACCTCAGAGATGTCATGATTTTTAAGGCAATATGCCCATCCTTCCCCACCTGCAAGAGAAGGCTGGCGGGGGCTGGGGGGCAAAAGGGAGAGGTCAGGTCGGCTGTGGCTTCCAACCAGTAGGAGATGACTCATCAACCCATGATGACAGGTGACATTCCATCCCCTTCCCCGGGGGACTTTGGCCTGAGATAAAGAGAGCACCCTGCTTCTGGGAAGAGGAGGACAAACAAGTGGGAGAGGCGGCCAGGCCACTGCCTGAGGGGTTGCATGTCTGGGCTGGAGGGCCACAGGGTCTGGTCATGAAGTGGGGACAGTCCAGACTGACCCCTGGGCCTCCCTGCCGGGTCAGAGACACAGCCTGAGTCCCCTTATCAGGAAAATGGGACTTTCTCTGTGAAACCAGCACCCCAGCCTCTCCCTCAGGCAGTCAGAGGAAAGCCTCTTGGTGCCCCTCCATCCCTCCCTGGCATTTCTGCATGCGTCAGAGGAACCAGAGCCAACAGGCAAACACTTTTTGAAAAGGAACATCAAGGGGTCACAGGCTCCAGCCAGATGGGCTGCATTTGTTTTACATTTTAATTTTAAAAACTCCTAACTTAGTAATACCTAAATATAGTTCTGTTGCAAAAGACTCAAGAAACATACTCCCTATGGTGAGTTAACTGCATCTCTAGGATTGGGTTTGGCTGCAAGTAACAAGTAACAGACTCCAGTGGCTTTGCCGGCTGGAGGCTGCATTTTTCTTGTGTAAAAGGAAATCCAAAGGTAGACTCCTTCAGCTTCTCAGTCTCCCACTTTGGTATGTGACTTTCAAATTCAAGGCTCAAGAGGGCCGCTTCACTGCCTGCCATCCGATGCTCAGCCCAGGCAGGAAGGCAAGGAAGGGGCAAGGTGTGAGCCGAGTCCCTCTCTCAGATCAAAGGCTTGGTGGCTTTTCAGAGCCCCACCTGGTACATCTCAGCGACCAGAATTGGGTCACGTGACCAACCCCCCTGCACCCAGGTGTCTACAAATGGGGCTGGGGACAAGATGGTTTTATTTGCCCTCCCATCAAAATTGGGATCCTATTAGTGAGCAGAAGGGGTGATGGATGATGGATGATGGTATCTGCCTCAGATTTGCTGGTGCTATCTGGATAGAAACACATTCTCAATGTAGATTTTCAGCTTGCTTTTTTTCCCCACCCAACAATGGGCATTTAGATTTGCCTTATCATTATTTCAATCTGCTGTTTAGTATTCCATGGGATGGACGTGCCACGGTTTATTTACCTCATCCTATGTTCATGGATATTTAGCTTCCCTCCCAAAATGTTCACTTTTCTAAACAATGCCTCAGTGAACGTCCTCACTGAGCACTCTTGGTGCCCACTGTCCATTTCTACACATGGTGTAATTGAAACTGCGGGTAGACGGGTGTGTCTGTTTAAAATGTCAGGAAGTGTTCCCAAATCAACACTAGGGCTTTGCCAGTTTACACTCCCTCCAAGTATGTGTGAGAAGACCTGCCTCCCTCACACTCACCAGCCAGGATATTGTCACTTAATATTTTTTCCCATGTGATGGGGGAAAAATATTATCTGTGTTGTAATTTGCATTTCCCTGACTAGCCCTGAGGTGAAGTCCCTTATTATTTATGTATTCACTATTTGTATTTTCTGATGTGTTCATTTGCCTTTTTAAATTATCTGGCAGTGTTCTCTACTAATTTGTTGTTCATTTTTTTCCTTTCTGATTAGAGTAAGTCCTTTTCCATTTGGGCTACAAATTTTTTTTTTAAAAATCAATTTTATTGAGGTATAATTTATCCACAATAAGCTACATCCATTTAAGGCAGGGTTTCTCAATCTTGGCACTACTGACATTTTGGGTCAGATAAATCTTTGGGGATCATCCCATGCATCATAGGATGTTTATCAGTATCCTTGGCCTCTACTCCTAGATGCCAGTAGCACTGCCCCCAGTCATGACAACCACAGAAGTGTCAGGACATTTCCAAACGTCTCCTGGAGGGCAAAATCGCCCTAGTTGAGAGCTTCTTATTCAAAGTTAACAGTTGATGAGCTGTGATAGATGTGTACACCCAAGAACCTATGACTACCTTCAAGATTTTTGTATTTAGGTTTCAAATATTTCCCCCAGTCTGTGGCTTCGCTTCATATCCAGCAGCTGCCCCTTTCTGTTGGAATGCCCTCAGTAGATTCTTTGATTACTCTGAACCTCAGTTTCCCCAGCTGTGAAATGGGGTTAGTAATTCTGACCTGGCAGTGATGTTGTGAGACTTGAAGGCAATAGTGAATGTGGCTGGCATGTTGTCGGTGCTCAATAAAAGCTAGTTCCCCTGTCCTTCCTCACTCTGTATGTATTCATTTAGTCAACAAATACTGCACATCTCCTATGTGCCAGGCCCTGTGCTAGACTCTGGGTATAGTAGAGAACAAGACAGACATGATCCATGTACTCAGTTGGAGGAAACAGAAGAAATGAGCAAACAAACGAATGAAAAAGAACAATGTTCCTGTAATGATACTGATCAGTGCTGGGGAAGTCAATCAGATGGTGTAATGTGGCAGACACTTGGGTGGGTGGTGGCTCTTTTGGAGAATCAGGAGGTACCATTTAGGTGGAGAGAAGAAGGAGAAGCTGGAGCAGCAAGGAAGGGAGATTCAGGCAGAAGGAACAGCAAGTACAAAGGTGGTGAAGCTAGATCCAGCTGGATATCTTGGAGGAACAGCAAGGAGTGAGGGTGGCTGGGACAGAGCGATCAGGGGGAGGGACAGAGGTGAGACTCAAGGTCAGGGAGGCAAGGAGATGGGGGCAGACCACACAGGACCTTGGCCACCATGGATAGAAGTTCTATTCTATCCTAACTTGCTGTGAGAAGCCACTGGACAGTTTTTAGCTGGGGAGAGACATGATTCCTCCATTCACCAAATGCTGAGGTCTCACTCTGCACTGTACCCTGCGGTATATTGGATTACAGTTTGCTCACTTCTCCAGGCCTCTGCCTGGTGATAAAACTGATCTTAATAACATTAATGACGAATTTTTCTTTACAGGATCCAAGGCCTCAAAGCCCATTCACATCCATTTCCCCACCTGAGTCTTAACACACCCTGAGAAGCCAACCTGGGCTGCAGGTGCCCATTTCACAGATAAAGAAGCTGAGGTGAAGCCACACAACTGGAAAGCATCAAGCCAGGACTTGAACCCAAGGTTCTTTCAGCTCAGCCTGCTTCTCCTTGATCCCAGGTCACAGCCCTTAGGGTGGAGGTTCAGGGGAGCGTTTTCTCTCTTCCTTCCTAAGACACCCCTTGAAGCCGGGGCTCAAGTCTGCAGTGCTCCTATCAGGCCTTTCTCACAGCGAGGCTCCTGGGCTGCCCACAAGGAGGAGAGGGAGCCCCAACCCCATCCCTCTCTCAGGAGAGGAGGGAAGGCAAGTGCTCAGAGCTGGGCACAAGGCCAGATAAAGTTGGGGCTGGGCAGAAAGTGCAGTGGGCCCAAGGCCAGGTGGGATTAGGACTCAGGACCTGTCTCACCAGGACCTGTGGGCACCAATGGGCCCTCCTCCTTCTGGCTGGGGACTGTGCCCTGTATCTGAACCAGTCCTTGGGACTCCTCTGCTCCCCCATCAGGTGAGGTCTTACAGCCTCAGACCCAGTGTTTGTTGGGATTCGGCTGGGCCAGGCCAGCCTCAGTGGCCCCTAGTTACCTTAACGGTCTGTGAGCCCCAGGATCTCACGTGTAATAGGTACCCAGGAAAGGTGTATAAAACTGAACTAGGGCTTGCCTCAGTTTCTCCAGCTTGCACTTCCGGCCTCTGCCCTTAATTTTCATCATATTCATTTGCCACATGCCAGGCTCGCTGCTAGTTGCAGGGGATGCAACAGTGACCATCCAACATGATCCCTGTCCTAAAGGAGCTCGCAGTCTGGCTGGGCTGATGGATGAATAACCAGATAACTGTACTCAGTGCTGAGGATGAGGGTAGGAGGGACTACCAGTGTCCACCAACCTCCATCATCTTTTTCCTCATAATGAGAGAATTTGGGGGTGTTTTCAGGGCACATGCTGCCAAGAGGGAGAGTACAGTTCCCAGCCTCCTTTGCAGTTAAGTGTGGTCATATGACTAAGTTCTGGCCAATGGGATGTAAGAAGAAGTGATGCAAAAACACTTCCGGGTTATGTCCCCAGAAGCAATGACACTTCTTCTCTTCCTGCTGTCTGGAATGTAGTTGTGATGGAGGAGCTGGAGCAGCCATTCTGGACTTGACTACAAACTGTGGGATGAAGATAGCGGAGCAACCAGATAGAAGGAACCAGTGTTTCTAGAACAAACTTGCAGAAGTAAACCAACCTACCAACCTTGGACCTTCCACATCTGTGCTAGAATTAAAATTCTATCCCTTTGAGCCACTGTAGGTCTCTGTTATAGCAGCTCAGATGTAGTCTGACTTATACAGAGGAGCAAATATATGTTGTTGAGGGAGTCTCAGTGGCATTTAACCCAGCCTGGTGGGAGTAGATGTGGAAGACTTCCCAGAGGAGGCAACTTTTAGATAGAGGCTTGACAATGAGAAGGAGGATTTCTCTAGAGAAAGTTTCCAGGCAGAGGTGTAGCATATGAGTAAATCTAGAGGTGAGAGAGGACATGGGGCTTTCAAGACACCTGAAAGAGCTGAGGGTAGTTGGATCATAGACAGTGATGGGGCAGGTGAAAATGGGGCTGGATGGGTGGCAAGATCTACCTCAAAGGGCCCGGAAAAGTCATGTTTAGCCCTCTGAATTTTGCCCTGAGGGCAAAGGGGAGTCATGGAAGGCTTGAGGCAGGAGAGTGGGGTGATTAGATTTGCTCCTTACAAAGATCTCTCTGACTACACGGTGGGAAATTGATTTATTTTTTAAAAGCTGAGGCAGTGCTACGTGCCAGGCACTGAGGATTATCAGTGAACAAAACAGATTTCGTTCCTATCCTTATGGAATTTGCAACCTGGTGGAGTGAGACATGAGTCAAATAGCCATGTAAATAAACACGAAGCGTGATAAGGCCAATGCAGGGAGGTATGCGAGGCTGTGAGGCAATATAAAGGGGGGTTGACTTGGGGGAGCCAGAAGAGCTTCCCTGGGAAGGCTGATGGGGGGACAAAAGTGGGAAAGATTCCAGGACAAGGGAACAGCACAGGCATAGGAGCCCAGATGGTAGCAGGGAAAACAAGAAGATGGAGAAATCCAGGCAGAGATGGTGAGGAAGAGCAGGGAATCTCAAGGGCCAGCCAGCTTTTGGCTTGAGCAAGGTGAGCAATGACAGAGGAGCAATGAGGATGGGGAGGTAACTGGAAGTGAAGATCCTGAGTTCAAATATAGTATGTTGGACCTGAGGTTCCTATGAACCTTCCAAGTGGTGATGGTGAGTGTCTGGCATGCAGAGGGGCTCCCTGACCAATTGTACTTGTGGTCATCCCATGCATGGACTCCCAGGCCAAAGCTCCCCAAATGCTGCCCTTTGGAGCACCTATTGTGTGCCAGGAACTATGCTTGGGATAGACACAGTGATTTCCCTCTCATGTCTTCTTGGCTGGCAGGGTCCAGTTTTGTTGGATCTGCATCTACCTAGGTGCTCAGGGACAGTGGCCATTCCCCTCCCCAGCCTCAGAGTGAGTTATTATGGGTCTAAGCCAACTGTGGTCATTCTCATTTCCATCATCAGTGACTGGTTTGGAATTAGGCATGTGCTACAATCTTGGTCAATGGGAAGACTTCAGGGGAACTTTTGGGAACAATTGTCTCCCCCATAAAAGGGGACACATGGGAGGAGGTGACTTTCTTCTTTATTTGATGTTGTCATATCTGTGTGTGATGCCCAGAGCTGCAGCAGCCATCTTGAAACCATGAGGACAGCCATCAATAAATTGCTGAGATTAGCAGAGCAGGAAGATGCAAAGAATGTGAGTTTTTGTTTATATCTTCATGCCTTCAAGTTAAACAACCATTATTAGATTTCCCCTTTTCTCCATCTTCAGTTACGTGTTCTATTCCTTGTGGCTGAACACATTCTAAGAAAGTGCTTCATATGCATTGTTTTGTTTAATCCTCTCAATAACCTTTTGAGGTTGGTATCACTATTTTTTTAACATTTTTTATTGATTTATAATCATTTTACAATGTTGTGTCAAATTCCAGTGTTCAGCACAATTTTTCAGTCATTCATGGACATATACACACTCATTGTCACATTTTTTTCTCTGTGATTTATCATAATGGTATCACTATTTTAGCCATTTTACAGGTGAAGAAACAGGCTCAGGGCAGGTAAGTGACTTTCCCAAGGTCACAAAGATAGGAAGTTACAGAGCTGGTGTGATTCGAGAGTGCAACTGGGCTAAAGCCACAATCTCCATTTAAAAGTCTCTCCCTTAACACGTTTTTAGTAGGAAACCATAGCCTTGTTCTTATTTTTCCCTGGAAAACTGTTATTATGGCTGGTGGGAAATTTAGAGTGGGCTGCGTTTCTTTGTACACAGTTAATGGCTTTGATTATATGTTTCTGGCTTCTTCATTCTGAGAAAGGCTGCCATTGGTTGTACAATATAATCAAATCATTTCTTATGTAAACAGCCGTCTGGCACAGAGTCAGTGGCAGTTCCATCAGCGGGAAGGTGAAAATGAAACTGTGTTCCCAGCTCCAGAAAGCAATCTGCTATTCAGCAGGAAAAGATCAAGGGTTAATGACACGGAGTTGAGCAAAGGCTGCCGCTGTGGCTCTGAGCATTATCAGGAGGTGGGAACAAAGAATGGTTGTTAAATGGGTTTGTTACAAAAGTTATTTCCTAATGTAATTCATGAAATGCTTGTCAGAACATTAGGCACATCCTTCGAAAGCACAAGAGAACTTAAAAAAAAGAAGAAGAAAAAGAGAAAGAAAAGAGGATTCTAAAAGTCAATTATGAAGCACTTAGAAAAGGTTAATGTCCTTAATATACAAAGAGTTCTTGCAAAACAATAGGAAAAGGTAAACACCTTATTATAAAATTTACTATTCACAAAGAAATACAAAAGGCAGGCATATGTATGAAGCAAAATCCACCCTGACAGTAATCAAGGAAATGCAAATAAAAGCTACAATGATGTAACATTTTCCACCTATCAGATTGGCATAGAATGGCAGTGTACATGGTGATGTTCAACGGACAGAGATTTCAAAGCAATCCAGAAATCTAACTTTGGGGCATTTATCCTAAGAATGTAATAAGCCGAGCATTCTCTGTGGACAAGGGTGTTCACTGAAGCATTGTTTATTATAGTGAAAACCTGGGGAAAAATCCAGAAATGCCAAACTGCAGAAGATTCATTAAGAAAAAAAACCATAGTAAATGTAATGAAATACTGTTTTAAAAATTAAATCATGTTAAATAAATATTATAAATTGTATTAAAATGCTAATTAAAATGGCAATATAGAGAGATGCCATGACATGTTATAGAGAAAAAAATTGTTTCACATACATGATCTAATTTGTACTAAGCTGTTTTTGTTGTTATTGGGCCAATTAATTCATTTTATTTTTAATATAACATCGATAAAAAATGTGCATCTTTGTTTACAATTTGCGAATTTTAGCACATTATCAGGGTTCTTGAAACTTCCAACACAATGAGCATACAGAATAGTCCATCACCCTAAAAAACTGCCTCCTGGACCCCTTTGTAGTCACAACCTTTCCCCTCCCCTAGCCCTGAAAAACACTGCTCTGTTCTCAGTATTATAGTTTTGTCTTTTCCAGAAGGTCACATGAATAAAATCATTCAGTGTGTAATCTCGGATCCATGAATTCTTTTTAAGTAGCTTTTTAAATTGTGGTAAAATACACATAACAAAATGATAACCATCTTAACCATTTTAAAGTGTGCAGTTCAGTGGTATTAAATACATTCACATTGTCATGCAGCCATCACAACCATCCATTCCCATAACTCTTTTCATCTTGTAAAAATGAAACTGTACTAATTAAACAATAATTCTCCATTCTCTCCTTTCCGCAGCCCTTGGGAACCGCCATCCTACTTTCTGCCTCTATGATTTTGACTACTCTAAGTACCTCATATAGGTGGAATCCTGCATTATTTGTCTTTTTGTGTTTGGTTTATTTTACCGAACATAACGTCCTCGAAATTCACCCATGTTAATGTATAGCAGAATTGTCTTCCTTTTCTAAGGCCGAATGCTATTACATTTTATGAATTTGTACTGAGTTGTATGTGCACACTCATGTATATTAAAGACAACAATCTAAAGGATGTTTAACAAAATGGCAGCAGTGTTTATTTCTAAATGTTCAGTAGTAATTTTCACTTTCATTTAAGTTAGTTTCTCGACCTTGGCACCACTGACATTTTGGGCCAGATAATTTTTTGTTTGGGGGCACTATCCTGGGCATTGTAGGATGTTTAGCAGCATTCCCGGTCTCTACCCACCAGATGCCAGTAGCACCCCTGACCCCTCAGTCATAACAACCAAAACTGTATCCAGCCAATGCCACATGTCTCTTGGGGCACAAAACCATAGTGGGTTGAGAACCACTGTTTTAAAGACTTTTCTGCGTTATTCAAATATTTTAACAACAAGCATGTATTGTTATCATAATCAGAAAAAAAACACGTTAAAAATATTCAGCAAAGTCATTTGTGGCTTTGTAAATTGGCTGTGGGTTCAGACAATGGAATTCAAGCAGAGAGAAGAGAAATCTGTTATCTTCTTGCCTTTGATACAAGGTTGTGGTGAAATATCTAGACATTTGGCAAAGTTTTCCCCGGATTGGTCTTTGCTCAAAGACCAACTTCTTTTTCCCTCCAGATTTTAACATAATTAAACTCCCAGAGTGGATGCTTTGACTCTCTTGGACCCCTTGCACCCCCCTACTCTTCTCTTGGTGACTGCTCCAATTTTGGGGAGTGCCACACTTCTCTCTGGCAGCCCTCCTTTGGAGGGGGGCTGATTTTCCTGCTGACTCCAAACCTAAGCTAATTTTCTAAACCTCACCCTCCAGTTGTAGCTACTGGCTTAAGGACAGACATGTAACCAGTTCAGTCCATTGAGTCTCTAGAGTAACTCAACGCTGTGGGCTTCTCGAAAAGGTGCATTCTCAACACTCTTAGAAACCACTCAAAGAGACCTTTGCATCTGAATAGATTGAAGCCTGGAATTGCTATACCCATTTTAACACCATGAAGAAAACCAGCTAGAGAGGAAAAAATCAGCACACAGCAGTAGAATTGGGTGAAACACAGAGGAAAAGATTGGAGCCCTGATCAAACCAAGCCTGAAGCTCACACTTCTCTAGGTTTTTTGTTTATGGAAGCCAATAAATCTCCTTTATAGTTAATCTCCTAAGTTTCTATTATTTATAGCCCCAAACTAATACAACCTCCTTTGATGACAAGAACCAATCACCCCCCGCACCACCACCAAATTCTACTTCCATGTCATTTCAGCAAATATGTATTAGACACATACTGGATGCCAGGCCCAATGCCTGATCCTGGAAAAGCAAAGATGGCACAATTCCTTCCCTGACAAACATGTGGCTTGGTTGGGTTAGGTGCAGGGGGATGGAGAGAGGACAATAAAGAGGCAATGTGATCTGTGCTGTGACGACAGGGATATAGGGACACAGTCCAGGCTGGGGGTGGGGAAAGGAAATCCTGACTGAGCCAATCTTGAGGGGAGAATGGAGAGAGGGAGCAGGATGTTTGGACAGAGGGAGCAGCATGTTTGCCAGCCTGGACATTTGAGAGATTGTTGTGGGTTCAGGGCTGGGAACCACCTGAAGAAAGGGAAGAACTGGTAGGGGAGGGAGGCATGACCCCAGGGGACTTCAGCAGACCCCACATAAAGGGGGCCCAGGCGGGGGCTGGGTCCTCAGAGAGGACTCTGCACCATTGAGCTGAGACCCTTGCCTCCCCTATCTCTTGATGCAATCCAGTTGTTGACAGAGAAGGTAGGGAGCTGGGAAGGGGGCATCTGTTCAAGCCCAGCTTTTCCATTCCACGGTGGAAAAACCCAGGTATCAGTAAAGATGACACTTTAAGACTAATATTCTTTCCACAACATTCATTCCACACAAGCACTACTACAGTGGAGGGCAACAATCAACGTGGGCCATGGCCGGGTGGGAGACAGATAATCACCTAATGATTCTAAAAATATAAACTTCAACCATGCTCTGGGATCCTCTGATAGAGGTGTTTGACATTCCAGGGAAGTCAAGGAAGGCTTCCTGAAGGAGGTAGCACTAGAGCTGAGAGCTGACGGGTAAGAACAAGTTAATTCCTTTGGAAAAGCCAGGGAGGAAGGGGTTCTGAGTGGAGGGAAGAGCTTGTGCAAAGGTCCTGTGTTAGGAAGGCATGTGTAAGGATGAAGGGCTGATACGAACAAGTCCTTTCCTTTACATTGTGCCTTTCATGGGTCCTGGCAACAAGCATTACTGTTATCATACTGTAAGGTAGGTCTTATTACTATTTTATAGATGAGGAAACTAAGGCATAGAGAAGCAAAGTGACCTGCCCAAGGACACACAACCAGGATGCAGTGGAAATGGGGGATGAATTCATGTTTTTAATCCTACCCTGGCATGTCTCTTCTGAGAATCAACCAGGAGAGGATATTTTTCTTTGAGAACTCATCAGTTCTCAAACTGTGGTCCAAGGATCCCTGGGGGGTACCCAAGACCCTTTCATGAGGCTCACAAGATTATTTGTCTTTTTCACTCTCATTCTCACAGGAGTATAAAAAGTTTGAATAGTTCATCAATATACATTTAGTTCATCAATATATAGTTCATCAATATATATCTAGATTTCACATTGCAACTACTTTCAGAAACTACCACCAGCAAGTTTCCGAGTAGCATTAAAGAATATTCACAATATTAAAATATTCCCTCCTTTCCAAAGATGTGCCCTCACAAAGCTGAGCTTTTTTTCAGACACTTCAACCAAACAAAAGATCACAACAGATGGAAAGCAGAAGCAGATAATGAGGATCCAGATGTCTTCTATTAGGTTAGCCATTTGAGAGAGTAGCAAAAAATGTAAACAGTGCCACTAATGCCACTTTTCTCACTA